GAAGAAAATTAACTCTATCCCAGCCGAAACCAGGACAAGATTATGAGTTTAAGAGGTAGTTTTAGCGAGCAAAACCTATTTAAGATATTCCCATCTCTCCTCTTTCCTAGCATTATTCCTAAACAATTCCCATAGTACACTGCTCCTCCAGCTGCACTGGCATCAGCATTTGTGTCAGTACACTGTGAACCAGATTGGAGAACTAATCTGGCTCAAAAATAAAATGAAAAAAAGTCTGTGTGCTGTGGGACTAAGTGGTTGGAGACAGATGGGAATACTTAAACCAGTATTTCTGTCTCATGAAACTACAGCCTGGATCAAGTAATTTTTAACATACTAAGAATAATTTCTGTAAACTTAGATACTTATTCACTAACAGCATGTGTTTGCAAAGTGGGTATGTATGCTTGGCAGCATATATCTTCTGTAGACTTAGCAGCAGCTGCAACAACTAATTTAAGTGTAAAGCACTTTAATTCAGAATGTTTCTTCAGAAGACAGCCATAGCCAGCTTTCAGCCAAATGTCTCATTTTGAGTTACCACATGCTTAGGACAACTAAACACAGTAAAACTTTAAGAGATCATTCCCTTTTGACTCTGAGTGGGTGAGGGGGTGGGGTGTGTGTGTGTGACTACTTTTCCCACATCTCTGAGATTTTAGTTATTATGATATAATTATGCTAGATACATTTGTTTTTACTGGTTAGACTTTACAAATACTGTTAAACAACTTTTTGCTAGAAACACTGCAAAAGGAAGTCTAATATCTTGGTTTTATTTACAAGCAGGTTTTTGTTTTAAGCATATAGTTGCTACGTATGAAGTCCTGGCAACACCTTTAGAAGAGAGCCTGGTGACCTCTTAGGAAATACCTCATTCATTTCATCAGAAAAAGCTCTTTTGCATGGGAAAGCTTAAACATGTTGCAGCATATTTGAGTTTTTAAAATCATTGCTTACCTACTACTGTAGCAACAACTTCAAAGCAGATCAGCTGGTTGTTCTGGAATAATTTTACAAATGGGAATGCTAGCAAAGGAATATAAGGTGTCTCAGCAAAGATAGCAGACCAGTGAGCTAGGGCTGATAAGGTCCTATATGCAAAGGCAAACAAAGGTGTAGAAAACATCGATCCAAAACCAAACAAAAAAATAATATGCATTTTAGAGCCACAACATAGAAAGATTATAAACTTCAAGATAGGTGCAGGATTATACAAGTTATAAAAACAAAGCTGCATGAGGGCACTACTGTGTCATTTTAGAATTTTCCTTACAGCTAATTCCACCTATTGGACACATTTCAGATCACTATATGAAAATAAAAATCTGTAATATTTAAATAAGTATAAATATATATTTTACCTCTGTAAAACTCTCAGCAGTTTCCTACTTTTGATAGGATACTCATTTTGAATATTCACAAATGCACTGTGGGTACCCTTATCTATTAGACTACTGAATGCGAAGTGGTTTTCAGGAAGTTGTAATAAGGAACGCCAAACAAACATCCTGCAATTAAAATGCAGACTTAGTCAAGCACTTCTCTTTCATAGGCCAGTAAACACAAGCAATTTTATTCTGTGCAAGCATAAACATGCACACAAACATACCTGTACTTTGCTGGATATTCTCCAAATCCTTTCAATAAGGCCCGCAGACGTTTCTTGTTTAATCCACCTGGCAATTCGTTCTACAAAATAAGGGTCAAAAATAAATTTAAGGATTTCTCCTTCATAATCTCCTTCCTTGCACTCTAATTGATGATGGCAGCTAATACTAAAGTTGCTAACATAATATTAAAAAAAAAAAGTGCAGTGCTGTTACACATTCCTAGGTATTTCAACAAAAAAGATAATTCAAAAGATCATTCATTTACTGAACTCGAAGAACAGCTGCCATTGATTTTAGTCAGAAGCAAACCAGACCCTAACTGACTAAACTATATATAATTAAATTATGGATATAGCCAAACCATAAAGAACATTCACATAAGGAATAGATCTTATTGTGATGAATGTTACAGGAGTATATAGATGTGTGTGTGTGTATATATATATATATGAGAATATATATACATATGAGATGCAAGATAAAGACAGAGAGAAGATGGCACAGTGATGACAGAAGGGAAATAAATGTAACAGTAATGCATCTTCTAAATAATTAATAAAAAATGAAATGGCTTCTAGGTAGACATTTTAGAGGTGCCAGTTTGCTAGCAGGGAAGCAGATCAGATCTAGCAAATATCCAAATGTGTCACAGGTTGCTTGAACAAGTTCAGAGGTACCCCAAGCTGACTGGAGGCAGCTCTGGCCATGTCACATAATACTGGAGCATGGGCTAAACAGAGAGAGGAAATGGCACTAAAACTCCCTCAATCCCCTCTCTGCTCAAACATCCAAGTGAATCAGTGCCTGAACTTATTCTTCAAAGTAAGTGGACAAATATTTTTTTGCAATGAAATTTAAATGCCGCAGACTGGAGAACAAAATATTTGCAACTTCTTCTTACCTCTTTATTTTCAAGTGATGTGTTCACTTGCAGTTTTAGCAATCTAGTTTGAATTTTGCTTCCTTTAGATTTCCAAGGCTGCTGTGGCCTTCCTGAAGTCACTCTCATTGTCAGTTTATTTGCCTCTGACATGCACTTGGACCAATCTTCTACTACTTTGAACGTGGGTGGTGGAGGCTAGTATTAAGTGAAAATACATCGGTTAACATCTTGTAAGACAGATTAAATAACACTATAATTTGATGTTTACTCTATTTTATATGCCATATTTTTGAGCTTGATGGCCTCAGCAAGAAGAATAGACACACATTTATACCATAAATAAATATATATGGACTGTATACTCCTGAATAAGTATGCCAGTGAATAAAACTGCTGTAACAAACTAGAAAGACTGTGAGAAGGTTTATGTAGCTTCCAAACCATCTCAAACATCATGTTATATTTCCTTGTTTAGCAAACAGTAAAACATAATTGGGATAGTATAAATGTGTATCATGTACTGTTCAGGTTATTTACTTTAGTGTGTTTCTCAATGTCACTAAAATACTTTGCATTTCTATAGCACCAGTTAAAAAGAATACAAAAGACCTTTACAAACTTTAATTAGTCTTCACTGTCAGGGAGGTATTAACTCAATGTTGGAGATTGGGAAAGCAAGTAACAAAGTGGATATCCCAGTTCAATGTCAAACTGGCAGCAAAGGAGCAAATGGAATGCATGTGTGACATCTTTACACATCCTTCCTCAGCTCCAACTCCGTCATTATCCAAAGCCAGTTACTGTATACTTCAAAGACATGGTGATTAAAGATAAATGGAATTCCGGATTTAGAAACCTGACTCTCATTAATAAATTGCTTTAATAAAATAAGAACTGGTATTTAGAATGTTTGTTATTTAGGAGGGATTAGGAGTATGATTGTGCCACAATGATGGATGCTGGTATCCAATAACACAGTAAGAAGAAAAAAATCACATCAACAAAAACACCATCCGTGCCCACAGTTTAAGACAGCATCAGTTACAAAACATTTCCTATAGGAAACGGAACAGAAGCAGCACAATTATGCTGTTTCCATCTCCCCCAAAACTTCATTACAAAGAGAAACTGTTCCATACACATTGCCGTAGAAAAAAATACCATCTCCCCCTCCTCCCAACACCAGAAACACAGTGATATATATACTTTAAAAACATCATATTACCTGACAGTCTGGAGTAACTATGAAGGGAACTCTACAAACCACTTTTTCTTTGTTTGTAGTGTTAAATATGGCACTCCAACATGTGTCTGCAAACTACTGCTGATGCAAAAGTTATGTAGACAAGTACCAACTTTAATGGGATTTACTGCTGTTTTAAGAAATGTAAAACACGCTACCTTATTTCCTTCTTGAGTCAAAGCTTGGACACTGTATAAATTAAGGCTACCATTTTCCATTACTGATGCAATATACCGTCCATTGGGGCTAATTGCTGCTGTACTAATTCCCTCTTCATGACTCCCAATGTCAAAAAGAAGTTTGCATGTTTCTATATGGATAAATCTCATAATATTATCTTGACTTAACACTCCAAGGACCTATAAGTTAAAAGGATTCATCAATTAATATTGTCAATGTAGAACAAAGAGGAATACCCAATTCAGCAATGACATTCCATTAAGCTAAAAGAGCAACTGAGCAAACATTTAGCATGGTAGCTTTCCTTTTGCATGGTATGGGCCCATATCCTCAGTGTCCCCCAAAAGCCCTCAAAGTAATGTGTTGAATCAACTAACCAAATACTTTGTAAAAAAACTGACCTGATTGGAGCCCCCATCAAAACTGTCAGGGAGGAATTCCAGGTGACGGACAGCTCGTACTTTTGCCGGCATCTGGATTATTCGTATCAACTGCTTTGATTCTAAACACCATAAGTGAAGATGATTTGATTTTCCACCAGCTACAAAAATCCGGCCATCTCTGGATCACAGATGAAGCAAAGTTTCCATCAGACCACTATCATTTAAGTTAGTATTAGCTAAAAAGAGAGATTGTACATTTCCTTCTACGCCCTCAAATCACTTTTGAATCTGTCATTATTCCTGTCATACTCCCCTGAAAGAACAAAATAGCTCCTAAATAATAAAATTTGCTTTTGTAAAGGATTGTTTAAACCTATTTTAGTGGTCATTAAAAATCAACTTACTTTATTTCAACTGTTACGGAACTGTAATAAAAACTGCTATTGATCCTTGCTGAAAGTATCAGTCACAGCAGAGTTCAAAAGCTTATCATAGTCTATAGCTCAATACTTCCATAAAACATTACAAATAAGGAAAGAAAACCCGTTTTAAAACTATAATTTTTGTAGTCCGCCTTTAGAATGTTTAAAACAGCAATTTACCTGGTAACTGCAAAGACCTTATAAAGTAATACAGAACCTTCTACAGGAGTTGGTAACTGGTATTTACAGTGAAGAGTATCAAATTCCCATGCAAAAACAGAATTATCTTTGAAACAGCTGAGGATGGTGTTACTCAATGGAAGAAAAAAAACCTGGAAGAATGTGGAAAAGAAAAAAAAATGGAATATGTTGTCAAGGAAGTACCCTTTAAATTGGACCAAAGTGCATGGCAGAATGAAATACAGCAAGAAACCATGACAGCATGGCTATTACTATAACTGTGTAATGCAGCTGCAATGCAAGGCTTAGCTCCCACAGGCAGCAGGTCCCCTTCCCCTGTTACAGCCTAGGCAGCCCGCTCTCCCTTGCACTGGTTCAGAACTTGTTGTACCCTTCACTAAGCCAGCTTAACTCACCAAAATGACACAAATCTTTATCTCTGTTATTTTTATAACTGTTAAACCATCTTGTGGAGGTTTCTGTTGAGTGTCAGAGAGGATGTAATATGAACAGTTGGAACATGAACCCAGAAGTGGGAGGGGATGGAAGACGTGAGCCAGAACTGCTCATTTAGCAACTGCTTGTTGCATCTTCTACAAACTGGCTTCAGCATTCAAATAGTACCAAGAGCCTGCAAATGCACTCTATGGAGCATTCATCTTTAGACTTAAACTCCTTAGTTTTACATACAACCATTAAAAGTAAAAAATATTGTAAAAAGTGTAGCAGTGTATTCCCCAACTATGAAATGCAGATTTTACTGTGAGGATGAATGAAGATAAAACCAAAAAGCTTGTAAATATTTTTTTTATTATTATTATTCTGAATATGTTTATGTGGAATCTCTTTCAATAAGAAAAAAAATCAGATTATTTACATTTTTGGATGGCATCAGATACATAAAAAAATAATGACAAATTATGGGTTTAGATCAGAGGTCCTATTCTGGCAGCAGCACATGCAGCTTCAGCAAATTCCCTGTACCTATAATTTTGAAGGTTAAATTGAAAATGTCTTCTGGTATCTGAACACTGAGGGACTGAAGGACTCACTGGCTGAGATTTACAGTCAGTGCTATGAAGTTCAGAGTTTTGGTCTGAATGGTTTCTTGGGGCCTTGAAAATCTGTAAATCTGCATATGTGGGATGGGATTCATCTTGCTGGATGTAAGTGACTGAAAGTTGGATGTTCAGGCCAAATTAGTCACTTGACAGTGAGCAAAAGTTACCCGTGGGGAA